CTACCACTTTCCTACTACTTTGTTGTTAGTTCAGTGATTATAATGATGGAGTACCTACCACTTTCCTACTACTTAGTATATAGTCCCAAAGTAGGTTAAAAAACATTATTGTTGCTACTTTAAGAATCATTATATGTGTGTCTTAACAATGTATATTAACTTGGCACAATTCATGATCCTCAATTGAAATAATACCTATCATCTGGACTTACAATAACTTTAAATAATATTAAACATCAGTGTTTGAGACAGAGAGAGAGAGCTTTCACTGTACAGTTAATAAACAAAACTTTAACAATGTGTAACTGTATTAGTGTAGTATTGGTGTCAAACAAAACTTTAACAATGTGAAACTATTAATGTAGTATTGGTGTCAAACAAAACTTTAACAATGTGTAACTGTATTAATGTAGTATTGGTGTCAAACAGAACTTTAACAATGTGTAACTGTATTAGTGTAGTGTTGATGTCAAACACAACTTTAACAATGTGTAACTGTATTAGTGTAGTGTTGGTGTCAAACAAAACTTTAACAATGTGTAACTGTATCAGTGTAGTATTGATATCAAACACAACTTTAACAATGTGTAACTGTATTAGTGTAGTGTTGATGTCAAACACAACTTTAACAATGTGTAACTATTAATGTAGTATTGGTGTCAAACAAAACTTTAACAATGTGTAACTGTATTAATGTAGTATTGGTGTCAAATAAAACTTTAACAATGTGTAACTGTATTAGTGTAGTATTGATGTCAAACACAACTTTAACAATGTGTAACTGTATTAATGTAGTGTTTAATAACTATTCTTATGATCGTTTGATTTACTGACAGGACCTTTCCCCGTTCGAGATAGGGAATATCTTGGTTCAGTTCAAAACATGCAACTTAATTCTGATTATGCTGCAGCTTTACTTGAAGGAAAGATACAGCTTCACGTAGTAAGATAGTTCATTCTATTTTATATAATTATATATGGTTAGAAAGTTTGGAGACAAAATCAAAATTAACTTTACCTCTTGTTTAAAAGCCATTTTTTCTACTTTTTGGGAAAGTAATATTTCTCACATGCACATTGAAGCTTTCTTTCGATTAGAATAGCATTTTTAAGTAAATGGTATTTAAAACAACTATACATTTATTTATAAGCGAGTTGTTTGTTAATTTAATAAATTGATATCTATTTTTTAACGTTATGTAAATGAAATGTTAAAATGTTAGATTTATTGTAACATGATTTATGATTTTCATATTTTAATTTTTGATAATTCAGATCTATATTGCACTCCAATATAATTAGATCCAAGCTATTTCATTGTCTCCAAGTTGCTAGTGTTTGGACAACAGATGGAGTTATCATGTTTTACCACTGGGTTCCATTTTTAATAAGAAGCCAGCCCAGATTTTTTGGTAATTAAGTGGTACACATCTTGTGAAAGAGGCAACCATTCCTATTACACAGTAGTTCCAGGTATAGCTAAATTTTCAGGACTGTTCCCCTTCTTCGACATTCCAGATGGTTCCAGGCTGATTCACTTGACTTCATGATGAGGCTTAGGGCTGGCCAAACGTTATTTATCACAAACTGTTGCCATGTGATAGAGAATGGTATATTATCATGTTAAAAGCATGTGGTATTCCTTGTAAAACACAGGAACGAGGACCTAGTAAGCCTAATCAATAACTTTCTTTTTTAAAGTCTCAAGACTTAAGTTTAATGTGCTGTGTATTTTATTTTTATTGTAAAGTGTTGATGGTCTAGTACTTATTTTCTGATGTTTGTAGTATGGATTTTATTAATACAAAGTGTTTGGCAGAGTCTTTAAAATAGATAATGGAACCAATACCCTTCTAAGCAGACACTTTGTAAGACATCAGACACAGGATCCCAAAACACTTAGTTTAGAAAAACAAGTGTGGTTTATGAGCAAAAGCCTAACACTTGATTCTATCCTTAATAATAGTTAGAAAACCTAGCTCTGTCTGTTCTCCTGGCAGAGATAAAAAACTTGGGAAACAGATACAGAATTGTAAAGAAAGTCTGACCACTTGGGAAACAGATACAGAATTGTAAAGAAAGTCTGACCAGCTTGGGAAACAGATACAGAATTGTAAAGAAAGTCTGACCACTTGGGAAACAGATACAGAATTGTAAAGAAAGTCTGACCACTTGGGAAACAGATACAGAATTGTAAAGAAAGTTTATCATTATTTTTGTTTCAAAAGTTCATCTTGCATTTCTTTCCAAAAGTGAAATTCTGAGTACTACATTTTTAGCCAACCTTTTTCTAGATTGCCATTGTGAGTTTGTTGTAAAAAAATTTCTATTTCAAATTAACCAAAACTGTACAGTGGTTCTGTATGAGGTAACAAGGCAAATTGTATGTGTTTTTAAACTCTGCATGCAAACACTCCAAAGGCTGATTATGTTATGTCCATAAAAATGTTTGAAACCGAATGTCATACATAGGTAGTTTCTTCAATTATGTATTAACAGATCGAAGGTGAACATGGAGAATCGGAAGAGAGAGAAGCTCGCTTGTTTCCCGATGGTGATCGAGCAAACTTGAATATTACTTGTCACGCGATGACTAACGAATTTCTCATCTATGGTACAGATGTG